TTCAAAATTACTATATCCGATATAGTTGATAAATTTATATCTGCAGAATTACCAATAAAAATAAGGAATCCACGGTTATATGACATCGTCATGAAAAATATAATTTATGGACCATGCGGTGACTCGTGCATGAAAGATGGTTAATGCTCAAAACATTTTCCAAAAGAATTCCAGCAAAATTCTACTATGGATTGTAACGGAGAATTCCGGCCGTACCCGTCTGGGTTGCTCGCGGCCGTCCGCACAAATTATTTATTCGGGTATTCGGGAAGCAAAAGACGTTCCCACGACTGAATAACGCGTCGAGCATAAACACGTTAAGCGTACAGATTCGAAGTCGGGATGAGGAGTCATACAGCGGCGAATAAACACGACAGCGGATTAATACGCTAGTCTTTAATTGTCAACAAACGATTACAATACGGCAACCTCGGACTTACACACTACGAGCGGTACAATAACAAACGCGAACGCGAAGGTGAATCGGTGGCTGGTTAGCCTGCCGATTCCCTTATAAAAAAACTAGATATTATACAATGCCCGACAAACACTTTTCGCTGATAGGCCATTAACGGGTAGCCAGCAGGTCTGCTGTGCTACCAACCATAGACTGACGCCCAAACATACAAGAGAGAGAGACAGAGAGAAAAGTACGGCACCGACCTCGACCTTCAGCCTCTCCGACGGCTGGAGCGCTCTGCACCGTGACGTCACTGGTGTGCTCCCGACCGTATCGCTGGTATATTTGTTGTCGCCGCTATCTGTCCTCTGGCTCGTCCTCTTGCTCGCTCCGCAATATTGCTGCCTCGATCTCAACCCGCTCGTTGATCGTTGTTTCTGCCGCCTCCTCGTTGCTCGGCGCTGCAGCACGTCAAGTTCCTCGCGCGTTCGCCCGCGCACCTCGCCGGTTACCCGCACGCACCGGTGCCGGGTATCTTGTGGGACACGGCTGGGCGCGACCCAGCCTCACGCTCTATCACTCGTCCGCGCACCGGGCGTGTCTCCGGAATGAACAAAACGTCGGCGAGGTCGCGAGGCCAACTCGGAAAAAGCCGTGACCTTCCGGTTTATCCGCGCGCGCGACTTTCTCTGCCCATTGCCTAGCAGAGACTCTCGAATTTTCCGCGGCGATCCGCAATTCGAGCGCTCTCTCTTTCTCTCTCTTTCTCTCTTCTTCTGCGCCATCTGCGTCGCTCCAGCAGTCAGCTCAGCCCGTGTTCAGCACCTCGCAAACAAAAGGTCCAAGCATGAGTGTGTGTGCCAAACGTACACACTCTCAGCTTGGCGAGGCGCACGGACATTTGCGAGAGCTAAACGGACGAGATCGGCCTAGCCGAGATTCTCCGTCACAGGATGAAAATGGTTTCTCGCAATATCGTCGAACAGAACTGGTACCATTTATGAATGTGCTAATAATTGTACAGTGGGTAGTGCCATACTGTCCTGAATTACTCGAAATATTTTATTGCCATGTTAACGTTGAAATTGTTTTAAATATTGCAGCTGTTAAATATTCATACAAATATATATACAAGGGTCAGAATGCTGCTATAGTTGTGATTGGACATCCTGAAAATGGACATACAATTTAACACGATGAATGGTCCAATTTTATGGAAACCTCTTAGGTTAGACCAGTTGAGACATGTTATCACATTTTCAGTAAAACAATACAAAATAAAAGTCATACTGCTACAAGATTATAAGTACATCTACCAAATGAACCAGCAGTCACTATTATAGAAAATCAAAATCAAGGAACTTTTGTGACGGGGTCCTAGCTAGAATAGCCGGCCCTGTCTGGCTTGCTCTCTCTCTCTCTCTTTCTCTCGCAGCCTCGCTCCTTCGCTGTTGCTCTGGCGAGCATTTGAAAATTACGAACCGATACCGATGCTCGCACCGCTTGATTTCAGGACCAACACCTGAGCCGGGCATCATCATTACGAGCCAATTGGGAGCGAGAGCGGCTGCAGCAAGAAGAAGAGAGAGAGAGAGTGACGCGTCGCGAGTGACCCGCGGCGATCCGCTCGCGAGAGCGAAGCCGCCGGCGTTGCTGGAGCCGACGCGCGAACGATTAGGGGAGAGAGTTCGAGCCGAGATTCTGAGTTAGACGGATCGTTTGACGGCCGAGCGTGCGCACGTGAAAGAGAGCTAAACAGACAAAGAAAGCAGAGGACAACGTGCAGATTACAGTACGAAAAGGACTTCCAACGACCCTTGCATCGAGGAATCTACATTCGAGCCTGCCACGAGCCTGCCAGCAGTTCCCGAAGCATTTCCTGCCTGTAGCGGAATTAGCAGCATTTACTGCCAGCAACTTCAGCAACAGTTCCTGCCAGCAGCATCAGCAGTGATTCCTGCCAGCAGCCTTCACCAGGTCAGGTCGTCTCTCTCTCTCTCTCTCTCTCTCTCTCTCTCTCTCTCTCTCTCTCTTTAACGATATGGTACAGCGCGTAATTGTAAACGTTAGATAGGTAGCAAGGCGTGCACACGCCGGCTACCTGCCCTAATTAAGGTCGGCGTCATAAATCGTTCAAATAGAAAATCGTCCAGGCGATCCCTCGCCGGGCGACTTTCTCTTTTAGTTAAGTAGGCTAAGACGGTTCGTCGTCAAGGCGGTCATCTGCCGGGCGACGCGTGCTGTATATAGTTTAGATTTGTAAGCGCGATTAGTTAGTTAACTTGTTCTTTGTTCTCTATTGTTCTATAGTATTAAGACCTGTTCGCAACACCGTTGTGTTTATTAGGTTAAGAGTTTGTAATAGTTGATTATAAGAGTTCATATTATAATGCGGTTTATAATTATGCGATTGTTCATGTACGGTTTTGAAGTTCAAGTGTAATGTGACTTTGATTTATTTAAATGCGAATTTTTGTTGTATGTATAATTCCCTAACCAGTTTCATTTCTTTACCTTTTCCCTTCTTGCCGCCTCAATTGCTATGAGCGAGTGCTCCTCACTTGCCCACCTTAAAAACTAATAGCGAACGAGCTTTCGTTACAAATCATTAAGTCAGTCTTCAAATTTGAATTCTTTAGAATATTTATGATTAGAGTTGAAATTAAGATTAGAGGCACAAGATTATGCTAAGAAAGCTGCTTTGAGGGAAAAAGTTCAAGAAGAATGAAAAAGTATCTCTCATAATAAAATTATAAAACTTATTGATGCTTCCCTAATGTGATGCTGTAATAGCTTCTAAGGGTATAGCTACGAAGTACTAATGACTATGTTACGTTTAACACCATTTGCAATTGTTTAGTTTCATGTTACTACATTTTTTCTAAGTATAAGTGTCAAATTCGTAGTTGGCAGGATAGTTATGAACGAGGAAAAATTATTATTTTTGGATTAAAATTTTGTTAATAGTAAACATAAGTGTTTGAATCACATGGCTTGATAATATAATAAAAGTCTTTACGAAGGTATATTTGTATTTCTACGTTGTATTATTTATGCATTATTCAAACATAAAATTATCTTTGTCCGGACACTTTTACGCGCAAGTGCACGTAGAGAAACATACTAATTTTGAATCTATTCACATTTATCTTTGTTCTCTTATTAGTTTTAAACATATTATGATGTTTATTTCAAAAGTAGTGAGGAAATACAACCTAATATTGATATCTAAGAGTCTTTAATCTTAATAGACATTAAGAAATTCATAAAATATATAATGCTTAAATAACATTAAGTTAAGTCCCTTTCATAACACAAATCTACAAAATAAGGGGTTGTGATTGCTGTTGGCCAACGGAAGGTCTTTTCCAAAGTAAATTTTTGCGTAGAATTCGAATCTGGAGTCAGAATTTGTTCATCACGCCAGGTTTTTCAGATATCCTTATCTAAAAGGGCAAAAAAAGCAGTTTTTTGGTATATTTGAGGTTCCATAACAATGCGGAAAAAATTTTTTTTCTGTAAACGAGACAAACCATCTGAAAGGTATACTCTTACCATTTAAAACCCATATTTAAGATTTGAGATGTCTTTTTTTTTCATCGAGATATCGTTGATTCGAATCAAGTATTTTAGCAGTCCCGATACTGCTATTTTCCCGGATACGCACATATGGCATATGCAAGGCTATAATCTCATGCGTTTATACCCGAACTTCCATAACCCCCGAGCACTGTAAACTACGACGCCTTAGCCCCAAACTCTTAAATCCCTATTTCCTTAAACTTTGAGCCCTGTAACCTACAATGCTATTAATATGGCAGCATTCTTTTTCGTATCTGTAACATCCTTTCTTTTAATCACTTTAACAACACGATTAATGATTTTTCTTGATCTTCAAGGACATTATTTTATCTTATGGAGTGTGAATATTCTTGAATTTATTTATTATATCGTTTCCATAGTCGATGTTCCAATTACTAAAATTTCAGCTATTGCACGTGAAACTTTTTCTTGATTGTATAATTCAATCATGACTTTTCGGATGTCTAAAGATGTGCTCTTCAACATGTTTACTGATTAATACGAATTATACAGTGTAACAGAAAAACAGTCCTAGTACTTACGTACTTTTGTGACCGATAACATTAATAATGCAAAGCGAATAGTATATACTTCGTGTTTGGCTAGATACTCATGAATACGCAAAATATTATTTTAGGTAAAGGCAAGGCAATAAGGGACTAAAAGGGTTGTAGCTGTGGGGTTAAAAATCGCTTATCTCTATATATGAAGAAAAAAATATATACTCGTATGTGTACGATATAAGTCATATATATGACTTGTATATAACTAATACATATAGAGCGCGCGCGCGTGTATATAGAAATATTCTATCATTATTGTAGATTTTAGAATGAGTTGGTTACGATATTGACCAGTATCATCATTACAATAATTTTTTCCGTGGCACCTATGTATTAATAAAATTATCAGTAAAAGTAAAATTTTCTCAATGAAAATGTTGTATGAGAATTTATTAATACAGTCTTTAATTGAGATTTCAAAATTTATCAATTATTAAAAGGACATGTGTACTCACCTGCAGGATGACGCAATTTATGTATGTATGCTTGCACAGCAAAAAGACACTGTAATTCCAAAGAATCATCAGCATCAACATAGCGCTGTATTAGTTTTTGTAATTTATCAAAGATTTCGACTTTGAAAATCCATTTGTCATTACATTGTTCTAAAAAATGAAAAATAAATTAATAAACATTTTACTGAAATTGATCAGAGAATAAAATGGTTGTACACAATGAACTTTATATTTTGTACATTTTTATTATTTTTAATAAATAAATATCGTAACGATATTATAAGAATATGTTATAAAATTAAGTTTGAACTCTAAGATAGATTTGTCAATTAAATTTTTGAGAATATGGAAGAATTTGACCAAGAAATATAATTGACAATAATAAAACTAGTAATTGTTAAATGGTTTACTGGTATAGATTGATACGTTCTTACACGAACATCAACAATCTCTTCTTAGCGAAATTTGCTACTTAAAGTCAATATTACTTAAAGTCAATACTAAGAATTGTTGCATCTAACTAGGAAAGGCCAAACAGAGCCACAACAAAGCTTTAGCCGAATTTCCAGGCTACAACAATATAATTAGGAGAAAAGATGATCTAAAACTGCTTTTTTGTCGTATAAAAGAGAGTCTTAAGAATAGACCTTTTACATAATCATACAGGAAAAGAAAATAGCAAGGCAAACCACTGAATAATGAAACATGTCTCAGGAAATGAGAGTAAAAAGTAGCCTTTTTCGGGAGTATAAATTGGCTCGTCGCTACGGCAAGAAGACCTTGGTGGTGCAGTGCGAGCACTGTTTAAAATAAAGACTCAGCTATTTCCTGATATCGTTATTATTAAGATTATTCAGTGGTTAGCCATGCTATTCCTTTTCTTATATGATAATTTAAGAGCTCAACTCATAGGACTCTCTTTCTTATAAAAAAAAAGCAACCTTAGTCTATCTCCTCTTTGAAAATTAATATTGCCTAGAGATTGGACTAAGTATTCGTTGCGGCACTGTCGGGTCTTTCCTCAATAGATGCAACAGTACTTAGATGTATTTCAAACGGCCCGTCGAAGCAGCGAACTACGTAGATAACACTATGTTCACTATTCGATGATCGTAACAATATCAAAACACAAAGTACTTTTACGTGTCAACTTTTTGCTTGCTCTCGGCAATGCGATTATCAATACATCTTATAGTCCGAACTTTCTATTTACATAACGTAGGATAAAGATCAAACGTTACATTTGGCGCCCGAACAGGGACTCTTTGAATTTTGTAATTAGTTTCGAGTTAAAGATTTCTGAATTGTTGCGTGCGTATTGAAATTTTTTGTTATGTCGAATAGTAGAAAGTCGAAACTTGCTAAGCATAAGAATGCTGCGTTGAGTAAGGAAGTTCAAGAATTAAGAGCGAGAATTAGTGAATTAGAATCACGATTCGTGACGGAAAGCCACATAACGGCGATAAATATTCGAACCCTGTATGAGGATTTGTTTTTTGTGCATAATATGTGTACTTTCATAATAGATTATTTGCCCGTTCCAGCGGCATAATTATTTATTACTTAAAGTTTGCACGATTATTTTATAATGATTTCTGTTTTCTTACTCTCTTACGTACGAAAATGGCATGGTCTTTTATTAATTTGCTGTTTAAAACAAATTTTTAGTAATTTTTGCACATTTCTAACACATGTTAACTTTTTCAACATTTCTCTGATCAAGATAGTGGTCTAAGCTTGCTCCCAAAATGTCTGGAAATAAGCGTTATTCAATTTTTACGTCGACTGAGGTAACTTCAGAGGCAATTCTAAATGAATTGAATGACGAGGTTCTCGAGGATGAGCTAAATGATCACGATAAAAAAACACGAGAATGGGAAAAAGCTGTCGTAGGGGAGTTAAAACAATTAGATTCCGAACAAACTAAATTATTTCACGATTTTGCTACAATTTCAGAAACAATCAGTAAACTTTGCAATAAACTCGAAAGACTAACAAGGAAAGTAAATGAACAATAAGTGTTGATTTCCACTTTAAAGTCTAATTTAAATAATTCAAATGTAATTATTGAACAGTTAAAAGAACGTTGCGATGAAAATCTTAACGATATTATCCGCGATAAAGATAATATTATTAATAAAATGAAAGATAACATTTTAGAGCTCCGAGTAGAGATAGATAAATCGAAAAGTAATGATAATAGTAAGCATACGGTCAATGAAACTATTGTCGAGACTTTCAAGCAACAAATATTAACGTGTCCAAAGTTTGACTAGAGCTACAAATATCATCCGATTAAGTATTTAAATGACTTCAAAAGATATTTATAAGCGAGCAATTATAATACGGCTCAGTTGCTCTGCCGAATATCCCAGTCAATAGCTGGTACGAATTCTGCCTGGTATGATCTTGTACAACGAGAAATTAGCAATTTTAATGACTTTGAGCGTTTATTCAAAGAAAAATTTTGGAATACTGAAATCCGCAGAAATATGCGTGAAATTGAATTTGGGAGATATTATCCTAGTGGTAAAGTCACAAGATATAACTGCGCAATCCGCAAAATAAATTTAGCATACGATATTACTGAAAGCTTAGATGAGGAAGAACTCATCGATAAGCTATCTCGGCATTTCGATAAGGATGTACGCCTTCTAGTACAAGCTAAAAGTGTTCGCAAAATATCCGAATTTTTTAGAGTACTTTCTCTTTCGATAATGACGACTACATAAGTAATCCAAACTCTTCAAAAGAAAATACGACCGAACATCAAGTAAATAGTATTCCCATTAATCCTTCTGCTGATAAACAACAAAATAAACATTGAGGTCGCAAGCTAAAAGTTTCCCCCGAGGAGGCCAGTGACGACAAAGTGCCACAACTTGAAATCGCTGCTCCTTCGGGAAACGAGTAAGCGTTGCTTCGCGTAACTCTGATAAAATAAACAAATTTCAGCGAGTAGCAACGGAAGAAAATTATAATTTAGCAAAAGGTTTAACAGAAAAATTACTATGCACTGTATTTGATAATCCTCGGGATGAAATTAAAACCGAACTCGAAAATAACGAAGACAATACATATATAAGGAAATGCCCGGAAGTTTCAGCAATTTCCGATGAATTCTATAATCAAAATGTGTTAGTTTTTAAACAAAAACCAACTTTGCCTATTAGTGGACACGTAATTAAAGTGGCTATGGGACAAAAAATCGTGAAGTTAAAAAAACATATTTATTTAAATGTAAGATTGGATGACCAGTACGTTAACATTACCTTTCTCATTATTCCACATTTATTGAAACAGTGTATCATTGGTTATGATACTATAAAAAATATAAGAATGAAACATGATACTGATCAGGAGAGTATAACTTTTCAAATAAACAATATATTGGGCTATTTGAAGTGTAGTGAAACATCTTTGGATGAGAAAACATATCAAAGCCTGTCAATTCTGTATGAGTATGACCAGAATCATAGCGAAAAAGCATCCTTGTTCGGAAATCTAACCTAAAACCACATAGACGTAGGCGCCGCAAAAGACGACGTTGCGATTCTAACGTGGGAGGAGATTGACGAGAAAATTAGCCCATGCTCGAGCTTGGCCGATAGTCAGAAATGCGAATTAACAGCATTAGTATATGAGTTTAAAGATGTATTCCGCAAAAAGCCAGGGCTATTGAAAGTTTATACGCATAAAATAGTGTTACAGGATGAAAAACCTTATTTTTTGAGACAATATCCAGTACCTCTGAACATCGTGAAAACGTGAGAACCGTAATTAGAGAAATATTGAGAGATGGTATCATACGTAGGTCAAAAAGTAACTTTATAAATTCAGTTGTCATCAGCGTAAAAAAGGTTGGATCTATTAGATTCTGCCTAGATGCTAGACAATTGAACAAGAATATGGTAAAAGATTATAAAATTCCATGGCGTATATTTTCCAACAATATTTTGGAATTAATTATATGTCTACTTTTGACTTAACAGCTTTGGGTAAGTGCCTTTGGACGAAAAGAGTAAGAAATATACTGTATTTGCAATTGAAGGAAATACGTATGAATTTAACGTCGTGACTTTTGGAACTTATACTACGAGTAGTACAGCAGCTTTAGTAAGGGCTTTGAATCTATCAATTGGCGATTTAAAACAATTCGTAATTCCATTTGTAGACGACATTCTGTGTATCTCGAAAACATTCAAGGAACATATATATCATCTTCCAGCGTTATTCACATGTTGTCGTAGGGACAATTACGCCTTAAAATTTTCAAAATCAAAGCTAGTTCAAAACAAGATAGAATAATTTGGTCATATCATTATGCTCTCAGGCATTAAACCTCAAGTGGAAAAGTTACAGCTTCTCAGAGACTATAAAGCTCCAAAAAATTTAAAGAGTTTGCAAAGCTTTCTCGGGTTCGTCAATTTTTATACGAAATTCGCTAAGAATTATGCGGCCGCCTGTCGACCTCTGATGGATTTGTTGCGGCAGAGTAGGGGCTACCAATGGTTACCTAAGCATCAAATGACTTTTGAGAACGTTAAAAAATTGTTCATTGAAAATATCAATTTGATATATCCAGATCCTGCTAAACCTTACATTTTAACTACTGAAGCTAGTTATCATACGGTGGGAGCGGCTCTGTCACAACTGAATCAGGAAGGCGAAGAAGAAGTCATAACTTTTATTTCGCGAACATTGAAAGGCGCAGAGTTAAACTATTTCACAATCGAGAAGGAGCTGTTAGCCATTGCCTGGTCTTGTTCGAAGCTAGACACGTATTTAACAGGTGCAACGAAAATTATCATTCGTACTGATCACGAAGCACTTAAATTCTTGTCAACATGTAAATTCACTAATTGACCTTTAATCCGCTGGTGCCTATTCCTGCAAGACTACAACTTAACGCCGAGGATCTTCCGAAAAACATGAACAAAGCAGCAGATTTCTTATCAAGACATTTATCCGACAATCGCAACGATGAAGAAGGCGTGATTAGTATAAATACTTTGATAAAAAAACTCCTCTCCAGCTCTTATAAAAAACTTAAGTTTTTCCCTTATCTCCAAGAACAGGACGCTTTCATTAATAAAATTAAAAAACAAAGCTTCCCTAATCGATTAATCATTCAAGAAAAATTAATATTC